CTTGAACCACATCTCCACTTCTGGCTTTTTGGTGGTTCTTTGGAGATAAGAGTTTCCCAGACTTTCCTGTGATCCTCAGGCCTCAGTGTGGTGAGGAGGAGCTAGGATTATAGGTATGAGCCACAGGGCTCGACCACTTAAATGCATTATGATCAATTTATCTCTCACTGATACACAGGCAGACAACCCACACACAAATCCTGCACATGCGCGCACCTGCACGTGCATGTGCTTGCGCGCGCACACACACATACACACACAACAGAGGTTGCACCAATTAAACAGGAACACTTCCCCAAAGACTGATGACCACAGCCTCCCCCTCCTCCAGCACCTCATCCCTGGCCACTACATAGCACTGGAGCCCCAAACTCCCTGGACCTGGCTCCTCATTGTTCCTCTCCCTGACCCTGGGGCCTGCAGGACAACAGACTGCCCACTGGGGTGGGGAGCCTGGGCCTAAGGCCAGTAGAGAAGGGAGCTGAGTCTCGCCCTTGGGGAGAAGTGGGTGCTGGGACCTGGAGGCTACTTCCTGAGGGGGCAACAGGTGGGTGGCTGCAGGCACAGGTTGATCCAGCTGCAGGCGATTTTCTCTGTGTGCCTGCTTTGCTGGCCTTTTGCTTCTTGGAATCTCTCAGCCTAGTCTCTGGACTCAGCAGCCCAGTGTTCACACAGCACCTGCTACAGGGAGCATCTTCCCACCCCACCTGTGCACGTGTGTGTGTGTGTGTGTGTGTGTGTGTACTAGGGCTGGAACTCAGGTCCTCCCACTCTCACTCAGCTTTTTTTTTTGGGGGGGGGGTCCGGTCGTGGGGCCTAAACTGTGGGCCTGGGCACTGTCCCTCAGCTCTTCAGCTCAAGGCTAGCACTCTACGACTTGAGCCACAGCACCACTTCCAGCTTTTTTCTTTTTGCTTATGTGGTGCTGAGGAATCGAACCCAGGGCCTCAGGCATGCAAGGCAAGCGTTCTACCACTGAGCCACCTTCCCAGCCCCTCACTACTGGCTGGCATTATTCTACTTGAGCCACACACCTCCCTGGATGCATTTTGCTAGTTAATTGGAGATAAGAGCCTCTCTTTGCTGCCCACGTTGGCCTTGAACTTTGATCCTCAGCTGTCAGCCTCCTGGGTCACAGAGATTATTATGGGAATCTGGCTGCTCCCATTTCTTGGACATTTTGAATAGATACAATAAGCACAGCAATGCGGGAGTCTCTTCCACACATTGATTTCCTGTCCTTTGCATGTCTTCCACATCGTGAACTTGGCCGGGCCCACAAGCCTCTATAGCCCTCTCTCATTTTCACCCCCACCAGAGGGGTGCCAGGGTCTCCCACACCCTCAGTCCTTTTATATACTTGTCATGCTAAACCAAGTGAGGTGATGCCATGTACTGGTTTTGATGTTCCTTGCCCAATTTTCAGTCAGCCCCACTCGTTTGGTTCTATGATCCACTTCTAAGACCCACAGGAGATACCAGGCTAAACCCGCCTGGCACCCTGCCTGGAGCCAAAGTCTTATTTGCCAAGTCCTTGAAGTTTGGCCCCTGGGCAAGAAGCTGGGTTCTGTTTGCCTCTCTGTGATCAGCCTTGCCCAGCACGCTCAAAAGCCAGCCACCCCTTCGTGCCCAGCCTCCCTCCAGCCTGCCCAGCCCCCAGCTCCCTTGTGGGGACTGGGAACTGGGAACAGGACCTTCTCCTGAGGAAGTCAAGGTGGGGCGAAGACTGACTTTGAGAACTCATGACTGGGTCAGATTTAGACCTAACTGCTTGTCACTCTATCCCCAAACCATTTATCTGTGCATCACATTTGCATACCCTGCCCAGATTGTTTTCTGCCCAGAACAATCCTGGAAGGTGAGTCACCAAGACATCAGTTTCTTGACTTAAATAGAAGGAAGCTGGGCACTGGTGGCTCATGCCTGTAACTGCAGCTACTCAGGAGGCTGAGATCTGAGGATCATGCTTTGAAGCCAACCTAGTCAGGAAAAGTCCGTGAGATTCCTATCTCCAATTAACCACCAAAAAAGCCAGAAATGGAGATGTGGCTCAAGTGATAGAGCACTGGCCTTGAGCAATAAGAGCTAAGAGACAATGCCCAGGGCCTGAGTTTGAGCTCTATGGCTGGAACAAAAATAAAATAAAAGAAACTAATAGATAAATAATAGAGGGCAAATGAGGATAGGAGAGACTAAATGACTGTGCCCAGCCACTGGGCTAGCAAGTCAGGGCTCATGATACCCAATCTGGGCCCGACTGGCAATACTTGCCAAAGCCTAGAGGAGTCCCTGGAGGGAAGGGAGCACTATTCTCTAGTCCACACCCATTGTCCTGAAAAGTGCAGTTAAGATCAGTTTTCCATCCATAAGACCCTGACTACACAAACTTTCTCTGGAGCAGCCCCTACCCAGCCACCCAATGGGCCCTCTGCCCGGGCACTCCCAGTCCTGCCAGCAGCCCCGGCCCCAGACCTTTGCCCTGGAAAGAAGGACCTGGTTTCCATGTGTCTATGGCCCTGTTTATGTCTTTCACCTACCACCAGGGCTGGAGCTCTCATGCAGAAGGCATGGTTGGCCTGCCTGTGATCTGAGAGAAGGAAGACTCCCTGGCTTTGCTTCTTCAATCCTTTCAGCTTGCTTGAGAATCCCTTGCTTCCTGCTAGATTACAAAGCTCTCTGAGCAAACATAAACTCAGAGGCTTCTCAGAATCAGTCCCACAGGCAGTGGAAGAAGAGCCACTAAGTCAACTATGGCTCCAGTCCCAGCATTGTGCCTGGTGCTGGGTCTACAGCAGCAAAGAACTTTTGTCCATTCTGGAATATTCTAACAGCTCCAATGGAGCTGACAGACTGGGGTAAAGGGAGAAAAAAGAAAGACAACTAAAAATAAGTAAGAAGCTGGGTGCCAGTGGCTTATATCTTTAAGCCTTGCTACAAAAGAGGATGAGATCAAGGTTCAAGGCTAGCCCAAGCACAAAAGTTCTTGACTGTCTCCAAAATAACTAGCAAAAAGCTGGGCTGGAGGTGTGACTCAAATGGCAGAACATCAGCTGAATAAGCTGGGCAGACACAAAGCCCTGAGCTCGAATCCCGGTACCAGCAATATACATACATACATACACACACACACACATACACATATATACATATACATATATATGAAAAAATTAGAGAACATAAGTATGAAAGAGGATAAGAGAGTCAAGCATGAAGGTATACACCTGTAATCCCAGCTACTCAGGAGGTAGAAAAGGAAGACGCTGCAGTCTGAGGCCAGCCAGGAGAATGTTTGAGCCCCTTACTAAAAAGCAAAATAAGGAGGACTAGGGTGAGGCTCAAGTGGTAGACTGCTTGTATAGCATGTACAGGGCTCTGAGTTCAATTCTCAGTCCCACTAATAACAATAATAATAAGCAAAAGTTGTGGGTGTGGCTAAAGTGGTAGAAGGCTAATAATCTTCAGCACCGTAGAGGAAGGGGTCAGGATAGTAATTGTGGGGTAGGAAGCCACTATTCCCTCATAGCCAGGGATGGCCTTGTGGGGGACAAAACCTGCTAGGAAAAGAGTGAGCTAGAGGACACCTAGAATGTCCCCACAGAGGGGACAGGGGCCAAAGGGGACTGTGGTGAGTGCTCACACTGCGGCATCTAAGAGCTAAAGCAGGCAGCCAAGCGCTGTCCAGTCCCCAGTGAAGAGAGCACAGGGCAGGACAGGACAAGAAAAGACAGGAGGGGTAGAACCACTCGACCTCTAGTCCAACCCCATGGCTGGCAACAAGTTGGGGAGGAAGGGCCCAGAGCAAATCAAGAGCTTTGCCGAAGTTTCTAACTTTTTTTTTTTTTTGGCTTGGATTAAATCTCTTTCCTGGCCCTCAGTGGGAGGGAGGGGGCCCTGGCACTCACTCAGACAGAAGGGAGGGGGCCTGGGCTCTGAGAAGCCAGGGGGCTCAATGGGGGATGGGAAAAGGCAGCTCAGCCTGAACTCCTGGTTTTCTAACAACACAAGAGCTGCAGAAGAAAAAAAAATTATTTGTGGCTTGGACTCAGGGCTTGTCTGTCATAGCTTTTCCACTCGATGCTGAGGCACAGCTCCACTTTAGGATTTTTGCAGGGTGATTGAAAATAGGAGTCCCTCGTTGTCTGTCTCTGTCTCTGTCTCTATCTCTGTCTCAGACTTTTCTGCCTGGACTGGCTTCGAACTGCGATCCTCAGATCTCAGCCCCCTGGCTAGCTAGATGTGAGCCACAGGTGCCCAGTTTGGAGGCCACTATAGGGCACCTGTGCGGGCCGACACTGGCTTCTGAGTCCAGCACCCCTCAGAATGGACAACTCCATCCTCCTAGGTTAGGCCAGGCCTGTTTGAGGCGTGCCTTGCTGCAGAGGACCCAGCGACCAGAACAGGTGTTGAGCTCAGGCTTCTGCCATCCACTTAGGACAACTACAGCCACGCCCCCAGTGGCTCCGCCCACTAACCACTGTCCCGGGTGGTTGGCCGCGCCCCTCTGGCCCCGCCCACTCTCTCGTTGTCCTGAACGGTTGGCTCGGCCCCATAGACTGTCCAGGTGGTTGGTCCCGCCCACGTAAGCCCCGCCCACTATACGGTCACGTGGCCTCCCGGCCACGCCCCCATCCGCCTGCCCCAGAGATGCCAGCGGGAGGGGGAAAGGTGCTGAGATCCGGATAGGGAGGTCGAGCCCTTCGTGATTTGCACCCCAAATCCATGAAGCACCCCTTCCCGGCTTGCCCCAGAGAACTGGTCTGTGAGTCTCATGGACCAGGAGCCCGGAGTTGAGGATGCAGACCCCGCCCTCCCGAGCCCCACCTGGCGCCCTCCACTGGGGGCGCGCGGTGGCCGAGAGGCGGGTCCGCGTCACGGTCCCGGGTCCGGGAGGGCGTGGCTCCGCCGCTCCCGCCCCTCCCGCCCCCTGTGGGGCGCGGGGCGCCGAGCTAAGCTCAACCCGCCCGGCCCAAGCCCGGCCCTGTTGCAGTCGCTGCCTGCAAACCCGGGAGCGCAGCCGGGAGTGCGGCGAGCGCGGAGCGGGCCGTTACGCGCGCGGGCGCACACCTGTCAGTCCGTCCGCCCGTCCCGGCGCCGCCACCGCTCTCCAGGCCCCGCAGCCGCACGGCCCGCGGCCCTCGTCCCCCGAGCCGGCCATGTCCATGGGCCTGGAGCTGGCCGGCACGGCGCTGGCCGCGCTGGGCTGGCTGGGAGCCATCGTGAGCTGCGCGCTGCCCATGTGGCGCGTGTCGGCCTTCATCGGCAGCAGCATCATCACGGCGCAGATCACCTGGGAGGGACTGTGGATGAACTGCGTGGTGCAGAGCACCGGGCAGATGCAGTGCAAGGTGTACGACTCGCTGCTGGCGCTGCCGCAGGACCTTCAGGCGGCCCGCGCGCTCATCATCGTGGCCATCCTGCTGGACGCCTTCGGGCTGCTCGTGGCCCTGGTGGGCGCCCAGTGCACCAACTGCGTGGAGGACGACACGGCCAAGGCCAAGATCACCATCGTGGCGGGCGTGCTCTTCCTGCTGGCCGCGCTGCTCACCCTGGTGCCCGTATCTTGGTCGGCCAACACCATCGTCCGCGACTTCTACAACCCTCTGGTGCCCGAGTCGCAGAAGCGGGAGCTGGGCGCGGGGCTCTACGTGGGCTGGGCGGCCGCCGCGCTGCAGCTCCTGGGGGGCGCCCTGCTCTGCTGCTCCTGCCCCCCGCGCGACAAGTACGCGCCCACCAAGGTCCTCTACTCCGCGCCGCGCTCCACCGCGCCCGCTGCGGGCCCCGCCTACGACCGCAAGGACTACGTCTGAGCCCCGGCGCCGCCGCCGCCCCCTCGCTGGACCCCGAGAGGCCGAGCCCGGAGGCCACCCCTCGAGGAGCCGCTCGCCCGGGGCCCGGGGCCGAGCTCCCTGGACGGCCGCCCGCCCGGCTCGGTGTCCACCCGCCGCGTCTTGCCAGCCCCAAAGCCAGCTGTGTGCTCCGATCGACCGGCCCGGCCACCAAGAAGCCGGGCCATTGGTATTTTTCAATAAAAGTCTTTCTCATTTTGCAATCGCCGCTGGGCACCTCCTTGTCCTGAGCGCCCACCCGGGAGTCGCCCTGGGCCGGGTGCCCTGTCCTACTGCCTGGAGCTTAGAGCAGGATAGGGGTTCAAGAAGTAGAAAGTGGGGCAGGGGTGCAGCACGGTTTGGTGTTCACTTCCCTGCCATGCTGGGGGATTTCAGGGCCCGAACCAACCCGAGCCGGGGTGGAGTGGCAAGTCCCATCCACAAAGCCCAGCTCCGCTGGGGGGAGAAGCGGTCCCCCGTGGTGTGGAGGAGACCGTGGGGCGCTCCTGGCTGTGGACGGGGCCCCTGTGGTGTGTACTGGGACCCCATGGGCACTCCCACTCGTGGATCGGTGGGGTGCTCCCGCCCATGGATAGGGACACCCGTGGTGTGGATCTGGGCTCCGGTGGTTGGGAACCTCTGTGGTGTGGATCAGGACCCCATGGGACTCACTGCCCGTGGACTGGGCTCTCAGTGCAGGTCCTTCCCAGACAATAGACCTTTTGTATGGATCCGGTGCACCTTGGAAAGGAAAGCCCCAGGCCACATCTGCTCACCTGTTGGGGGGGGGGAGTGGGGGTGGTGTCGGGAGAAAGAAAGACCCTCTACCTTCCCTGGGATCCTCAGGAGTGGAAAAGAGAGGAGTCAGAGTCTGTATCCCCAAGCTAAACAATTCTTAGTACTCAAGACTATGCCCCACCCTTACAAGGAAGAGGCTCCTATGCTTAGAGAGAGTGAGAGAGGGGATCAGCTGGAGAGATTTCCCCCATCCCTGGGTGACAGGGTGCTGGTCAAGAGCAGAGGGAGGGGGACAGAACCCAGTGGGGAGGGGGAAAGGTCTTTGAAGGAAGCAAAATTGGATTGGGTGTGTGGCTCAATAGGGAGAGAGCCATGTTTGCCAAGTGCATGAGGCCCTGGGTTCAGTTCTATATAAGGTAACAAGAAAAACAGAAAGTCAAAAGCTGGTGGCTCATACCTGTAATCCTAGTTACTCAATCCTAGCTGAGATCTGAGAATTGCATTTCAATAGCCAAAAGTGGAGCTGTGGCTCAAGTGGTGGAGCGCCAGCCTTGAGCAAAAAAGCCAAGCCTGAGACAGTGTGTTAAACCCCAATACCAATACACACACACAGAAGAAGAAGAAAGATGAAAGAAGTCATCAGCATGAAGGAGCAGGAAAGATCTAGATCTGGAATCAGTGTAAGCCAGGTTCCCACCGTGGTGGGAGCCGCTGAGAGGTTCTGATGGGAGTATATTAACTTTGGCCAGTCTCGGGGCCATCCAGGAAGGACACCAGGAAATAGGAGGACGATCAGATGGCAACCGAAACCAGAAGGAAGATGACGTCAGTCTAGAAACCAAAAAAAAAGCTTCAAGGAGCAGCTACGGGCACCAATGTGGCAGGCAGAGGCCGAGGCAAGAAAAAAAGCTAGCTCTGCCTATGAGGATTGTGGGGTCCAGGACAGCCAGGGCTCCTTCCTAGGCCCCTCCCCAGTGAGAACTTGTCTCAAAACAAAAAAAGGGGGATTAGGGGACCTCTAGGGACCCAAGGTGACAACACACGTAGAACCACACATAGAACCACAGGGTCTTGAAATCTTTTGTGTTTCTCGAAATGTTTTGGCTGTGACAAGCTAAACCCATGTTCTCTATTTGTTTGCCTGTTTACTTACATATTTTGGGCAATGGGGGTCTTGTTATGCAGCCCACACTGATCTTGAACTCCATCTCAGGCTGGCCTCAAATTCTGGATTCTCCTGTCTTGGCTTCCAGAAAGCTAGGACTACCGGCTACTGTAGCTAGGATTACAGGCATACCCTACTGTAAAAAGGATTTCTAGGCTAAGGAATACCAGTGTGGTATCACCAAATGACCCAACGAGGAGGAAGCTCTTAGAGAACTGTGTGCAGGGTGTAATCTCCCCAAAGCTGGCCCAGAGCAACCAGAGGAAGGAGACAACCCAGCCAAGTGACTGCTGTTGATTGAGTTCAGTCCTGAACAGGGCTGAAGAAAAGGGATTCCTGCTGGGTGCTGGTGGCTCACGTCTGTAATCCTAGCTACTCAGGAGGCTCAGATCTGAGGTTAGAGGTTCAAAGCCAGCCTGGGCAGGGAAGTCTGTGAGACTCTTATCTTCATTTACTCATCATAAAGCTGGAAATGGAGCTGTGGCTCAAGTTGTAGGGCACCAGCCTTGAGCAAACAAAATTAAGGGACAGAAGCCAAGCCCTGAATTCAAGCCAAAGGACCCCTCCTACCCCTCACACCCAAAGAAAAGGTATTCCCCCAGCTTCCCACTACCCTCTGTGAAGGGGTGGAGCTCCCCAAAGGGGGCTTCCAGAGAGAGGAGCTTAGAGCATGACTGAGGGCTGGAGGGAGGCAGAGGGCAGCATTATAGGGTCCTGTTGGGGAATCAGGGCTGCCTCTGATTTGGCTCCCACAGGCCCTGCCCAAGGCAGCCAGGTTGGGATACGATGATGAACTGAAGGGCTCCTGTGCCGCTGTCCCTGGGAGCCCTACAGGCAGCCCCAGGGTGACTGAGAGCTACCAGCTTCCTGAGGACAGCCTGGATGCCATGCTCCCAGCCACATAGACATCATGGAAAGCCATGGAGACATGGCCAGAGGGAGAGAACCTGTCCTAGGTGTGCAGACCAGACTCAGGGTAGGGGGCAAACTTTGCCAGTGTGCTTGCACCCCAACTCTAGGCACCCACTGAGGGGCTGGGCAATGGGTACCCTCCTTCCTCACTGCTCTTTTATTTACTTATTTTGTCAGTACTGGAGATTGGTCTAGCTTGGTCTGCTTGCTGGTCAGTTGCTCTACCACTTAAGCCATACCTCCAGTCCCTTTTTGACATGGTTATTTTCCAGGCAGGGTCTCACTGTATGCCTGGACAGTGATCCTCCTATTTGTACTTCCCTGTGTCACTGGGGATTGCGGGCATATCCACTGCACCCAGCCTTTGTGCTGGTATAACAGGCATGGGCCACTGAGACAGCCATTGGTTGAGACGGATTTTGAAAAATTTTGTTTTGTTTTGGTCAGTCATGGGGCTTGAACTCTGAGCCTGGGCACTGACGTTGAGCTCTTCAGCTCAAGGTGAGTGCTCCACCACTTGAGACACAGAGCCACCTCTAGTTTTCTGGTGGTTAATTGGAGATAAGAGTCTCATAGACTTGGGCTGGGAAGGTGGCTCAGTGGTAGAGTGCTTGCTTTACATGCATAAGTCCCTGGGTTCGATTCCTCAGCACCACATAATCAGAAAAAGCCAGAAGTGGTGCTGTGGCTTAAGTGGTAGAGCGCTACCCTTGAGCTGGAGAGCCGAGGGACAGCACCCAGGCCGAGTTCAGGACCCATGACCAAAAAAAAAAGAGTCTGGGCTGGCTTTGAACCATAATCTTCAGATATCAGTCTCCTGAGTAGCTAGGATTACAGGGATGAGCCACTGGTGCCCAGTTCTTGAAAACATTAAAAAATTATTGTTATAAAGGTGATGTACAGAGAGGTAGCAACTACATGTATACATTTCTTTTTTGACAACATCACCCCTTCCCTCAGTCTGTTTTTCCCTCCCATCCTCACCCACAACTTGTGTAGTTCATTTTCAACACAGTGTCTAGTGAGTGCCACTGCCACATTTGTCCACCATTTATCCCTTCATGTCTGTGCCCCTTTACCCTCCTAAAGACAGATAAATGAGGGGGGGGGAGGATTAGGTGAGGGGGGGTAGGCTGGGAAGGGATGGAAAGGGTAAACAAAGGAGGAGGCTACAATGCTTGATAAGAAATGTACTCATTATCTTGTCCATGTAATTGTAACCCCTCTGTTCAGTATTTTCATAATAAAAAATATTTTTAAAAAAGACAAAAAAAGATAGATAAATGAACAAACAAGAGAAAAAGAAAACAACAATAATAACAAAGGAAAAAAAACTCTTGTTTCCATACTCTGAGTTCATTTCAATGAATACTATTTTATATGATCAGATGCAAATAGACATTACACTTTTGTGTTCCTCCCCTAAGAGTGTCCTCCTTTGGTCTTACTATGTGTGAAAGCCTAGAGCCTAGAGTCCAATATAATGTATTACGTCTAGTGTATTGTAGGTCTAGCTTCTGCACATGAGAGAAAAAATGCCATTTGTCTCTTTGAGACCCCTCAGGGCTGGCCTCAAACGAACCTCCTACTCCACCTCCCAAATAGCTAAGACTACAGCCTTGAGCTACCGCACCCACCTTGGATTTTTCTTATTTGCCTTTTTCTTCTCTGAAACAGTATCTTGATTGAAAGCCCAGGCTAGGCTGAGCTCTTCATCCCCCTGCCTCAAGCTCTCAGGTGCTGGGATTATAGGTGTATACTACTATGCTGGGCTTTGAACCTCTGAATCCTCTCTGAATTCTGGGGCCTAAGTGGAGATAGCACAGAGATCACCAGCTGAAGGTCTCAAGAGAGAGGCCTCAGGAAGTCTTCGGAAAAAAAAAGGAGGAGGTTGGGGGGGGGGATGGGAGGGCAGGGATGGTAATTAGAAACAAAGGCAGAGGCAACAATGCTGGATAAGAAATGTACTCATTACCTTGCTCATGTAATTGTAACCCCTCTGTACAGTATTTTCACAATAAAAAAACTTATTAATAATAAAAAATAAAAAAAAAGAAAAGGACATCTGGTGTCAAGGGACACATCCTGAGCAGAAAGGCAGGTGACCTGAGCTGGTCCAGCCAGGCTTTTTTTTTTAAACCTGGGTAGCACCCCCCCATTTCTGAGCCTCAGTTTCCCTGACATTTTGACAAAGAGGAAGCAGACCAGATGGTCCATGACACCCCAACGTGTCTTTTCTCCTCCCACCTTTATTCTTACCACAACCTTTACAGGAAAACCAGCTGAAAGCAAAA